GGAAAGGCTAGATCCAAGAAACCTGAACAAAGGAAAGGCATATAGATGCTTCATTTGTTCATTCACCAAACATTTATTGAGTGCTGACCAGGTTACAGACACAATGCCACCTCTGAGGATATAGAGATAACGGACAAACACAATAACAACAAAAAGCCCCAAACCTCAAAGCCCAGTAAAGATCTCAGATTCTAGTTCATCAAAGCATGTCACTATTTTAGTGACAGTGAAACAGGCTCACATGTGGAATAGAAGTAGAATTATGAGAAAGATTGTTTTCAGGGTTATACAGGGTTGTTAAGTAAATTAAGTAAATTTAGAGAAATAGTTAAGGATGGGATAAATTGTCTATTACTAGGATTTTAGGTTTATATTCAATTTCTTTATAAGAAGTAAGGAAAAGGTAAATGATACTGAAGTGGTTTAAAAAGCATGTCTGCACATTTTGGACACACATCTCTGCAAGAGGTGAAGCCCAACTGCCCTTGCCTGGAATGTGAGCCTGACTTAAAGACTGGCTTCTAACAGCTAGAATGGGGGTCGAGGGGACAGTGTGTGGCTTCTCAGTTCGGATCATAAGAGACGCTGTGGATATGACCACACTCTCTCACGGATTAATTGTTCTGCAGAAGCCAGGCACCTTCTATGTCACGGGGACACTCAGGAAGTCTGTGAATAGGCTCCCATGGGGACAAGCTGAGGCCTCCTGACCAAAAGCTACAGTATGGTGGCCACGTGACCCAGCCACCTTGGAAGTGGCACCTCCAGCCCAGCGAAGTCCTCAGATGACTGTATCCCCCGCCATCCCTGAGCGCAGGCTCTTAAGAGACCCCAGGCCAGAACTGCCCATCTAACCTGTTCCCAAGTTCCCTGACCCATAAAAACTCTGATGCTCATAAATGTTTATTGTTTTAAGTTACTACATTTTGACCTTATCCATTATGCTGCAATTAAATAACTGTACAGAAAATGGGGCTCATTAAATCAGGAATTGAAGGGAAAAACTAAAAATCCAATTCTGGTAACCAGACAGTAAATTCTAGAAGTTTAGGATATTAGTTTTTTACATCATAATGTAATTGCTTCATTATTTCTCTCTGGGCAAAGTGTATTATGGAAAAACCCAACTCAACTGTGAGTGAAAGAGAAATAGAATTTTCACTTAAAAGGGAAAGCACAGTTTTACTCCAGGCTCTAGAGAAAATTATAGGTTGTGTAATCTCACCCCACAATTATTTTGTTAGTTTAGGTTTTCTTAGATGATTTTAAACTGCTAACAAAAAATTACTTCAGAAGGCAACTGCCATAAGAGTTTTGACTTACTGCACAGTGGACAGACTTGGCATGTCTGCAATAAACCTACTATGAGATGTAATCGCATGACTGAGACTTGTGCACATTTCCTTACAAATAACTGCGGAGGTGTAAGAAGAAACTCGACCTTGAAATTAGGCTCCTTCTGTCTGCTTCTTCCCAATTAAGAAAACAGCCTTGTATACTTGGGTGCCTAAGGAAATAGCAGAATACAGGCCATCTGCCAGGACTTGGTGGTTTTTGAAAGGACTTGGGCAACGACCAACGTTAGTTTTGTAACGAAGCTCATAGGCTTTTCTTTTAAAGAGACATTTGTACAAAAATATTTCAAAGAATTTCTTTGATCTAAGAAATAGTACATACCTATGTAAGTTATTTGTTAATAGCCTACTGGGCAAATATACTTTCTTACTTGGATTTCCCACAAAGAAGATAAATGAACTCTCAAGAGGTTTTAGGTGCCTTTTTAAAAAGCCATTGTAAGAGGAATATGAAATAAAAAGAAGTAGTTGAAATTCCTGCATTAAAAATATAAAGTGATGTTGCTTAATAACTGAAATTTTTGATCATTATTCCTTTAGATCACTTAGATAATACTTTTATATGAATATATATATATTTATATTCATATGTATGTATATACACACACACACACACACACACATATGTATCTCATGGAAGCAATGTCAAGGACAAGTCAGATAGGAAAGACTAGCAGCCATTCTAGAAACAGTAGCAAAATGAAGCAGTCATGCGGGAAGGTTTGCAGATAGAGGCACAAACATTCCTTAGGAGAAATGCAGGGAGTTCAGGTGTCAAGCTAGGAGAAAAGGGAAAGATAATGACATAACTAATGTCTTGTTTTAAAGAATGGTGCTCAGAGAAGGAGGCCAATTTTATTTGCACCTATATTAAAAAGTACATCCCTACAACAATCAAACAAGGTTTATAAAGACAATATTATTGCTGTGGTTAAGACTGCGTCCTCTGGAGCCACATTGCTAGGGTTTAAATTTCAGCTGTTTCATTATTTTTTAAGTCTCTGTGCCTCCACTTCCTTATCTATAAAACAGGAATAATAAGGATGTGATCTCATAGGATCGTTGAAGGGATTAAGGGAGAGAAAATGGATAAAGACCTTAGAATAGTATCTAAGCACATAGGAAGTGCTCTATGATATGAACTATTATTATAATGTTATTTAAAATCACAACACTGATAATAACAATGCAAGAGGCAAGGAAGATCTCTCGGAAAAACTAGAATGACTTCCTTGAAGGAACCCGGATCCAAAACCCTGTTGAGAGTTGTCTTCTCACAGTGGGACACATGGAAGGTCTGGGAGGGGTTAAGCCAGCCCCCGAGGGACTGAAGAGGCCGACCCACCGCGAGGGACCCCTCTTCTGAGAGCGAGGAGAAAACGGAAAGGATGGAAAACAGAATCGAGCTTTAATTTTTTTTTTTTAACTTAAATTTACAAACGGAAGGAGACTTTACTTTGGGGCTTCATTTTCTTTCTGGGGGTTTAATAAGGAGCAGAAGGTTCATTTTAAAAAGCGGAGCCGAAGCTACTCGAGTTCATAATCGATCTCCGGTGAGCAGTTTAAGACGAACGGGTGAGTGTATTTTGAAATGGGGTGTAGAAAAGAAAACAAAATTTTTGACTGGGGGTGTCTCGTGTGTGTAGAGCTAAATAATTACCGTCTCATTCTGACCAGTTTTGGAGATCGCGCAGGCCCATGGCTGAACTACCCAGTTCTCTGCTCCAGGGACACTCAGGGCTAAGACTTTGCAAGTTTTATCAGACCTGTTGGTAGAAGGAGGAACGCGGGAAAGAAAGAGAAGTCTCTGCTCTGCCCTGTTCTACCCATCTTGTCCCACTGGGATCGCCCAGTGGGAGCCTCTGTCCTCCACCTCGGGGGAGCTGGAAGGGGAGCAGCGCTTCAGGCTTCCCCGCCACGCTGTTCTGTGTTCCTCCTCCTGTTAGTTTCTTAGGAACCGCTGTCACAAAATACCCCAAACCGAGTGGCTTAAACAACAGAAACTTATTCTTTCACAGTTCTGGGTTCTTGGCTTTTTTGGGTGTTGAGTGGTAGAGAGTTCTTTATCTACTTGGGATATTAACCCCTTATCAGACGCATGATTTCAAATATCTCCCATTCAGTAGGCGGCCTTTTCATTTTGTGGGTGGCTTCCTGCTCTCTGCAGAAGCTTTTTCGTTTGATACGGTCCTATTTGTTTATTCTTGCTTTTCTTTCCCTTGCCTTTGGAATCCGACCCAAAAAAGAAATCACGAAGACCTATGCCACGGAGCTTATTGCCTATGTTTTATTCTAGGATTTTTATGTCTTACATCCAAGTCTTTCATCCATTTTTAGTTGATTTTTGTGTATGGCATAAGATAGTGATCCAGCTTCATTCTTTTCCATGTAACTGTCCAGTTTTCCCAATACCGTTTATGGAAGAGACTTTCCTTTCCCCACTCTATATTCTTGCCACCTTTGCTATAAATTAACTGACTTTATTTCTGGACTCTTCATTCTGTTCCATTGGGCTGTGTGTCTGTATGTTTTTTAAACCATACTGTTTTGATTACTCTAGCTTTGTGGTATAGTTTAAAACCAGGGCTTGTGATACCTTCAGCTTTGTTCTTTGTCAAGATTGTTTTGGATATTCAGGGTCTTTTGTGATTCCATACAAATTTTGGAATTATTTTTTCTCGTTCTGTGAAAAATGCTACTGATATATTGATAGGGTTACCTTGAATCTGCAAATTGCTTTGGTATATGGACATTTTAACAATATTAAATCTTCCAATCTATGAGCATGGACTATCTTTCCATTTATTTGTGCCTTATAGTTTTCAGAATACAGGTTTTTAACCCCCTTGGTTATATTATTCCTAGGTGCTTTATTCTTTTTGATGCAATTATAAATGGGATTGTTTTATTGATTTCTCTTTCTGATAGTTCATTATTAATGTGTAGAAATGCACCAGATTTTTGGAACATTATTTTGTATCCTGCAATTTTACTTAATCCGTTTATTAGTTTAACAGTTTTTTGGTGGAGTCTTCTATATATATAATATCATGTCATCTGCTAATAATGACAATTTTACTCTTTCCTTACCAATTTGGATGCCTTTTCTTTTTCTTGTCTCATTGCTGTGGCTTGGACCTCCCGTACTATGAAGTGGGCACAGTGGGCATCTTTGTCTTGTTCCTGATCTTAGAGGAAAACTTCCAGGTTTTCATTGTTGAATATTATATTAGCTGTGGGTTTTTCATATATCACCTTTACTTTGTTGAAAAAAAAATGGCACCTTTATATCCATTTCCTTGAGGGTCTTTACTAAAAATGGATGTTGAATTTCATGAAATACTTTTTCTGCATCTATTGAGATGATTACATAGTTTTCATCCTTTGTTAACGTGGTGTATCGTGTTGGAGCATTTGTAGAGGCTGAACCATTCTTGCACCCCTGTAACAAACCCCACTTGATCATGGGAAATGATCCTTTCAATGTATTATTGGATTCACTTTGCTCATATTTTGTTGAGGATATGAGCATATATGTTCATCAGGGTTATTCACTGGCCTGTAATTTTCTTTTTTAGTGGTGTCCTTGTTTTGGTATCAGGATTGCTGGTAATGCTGGCTTAGTAAAATGAGTTTGGAAGCCTTCCCTCACTTTCAATTTTTTGGAAGCATTCGAGGATAGGTATTGGACGCTCTATGCATTAAGAGCAACTTCTCTAGTAACAAATTGTAGAAATGATCCCAGAAATAAGGTCTTTAAATACCGATTTTTAGATATATAGTACATGGTATGCATTTTAAAGCTCTGCAATTTCTTAAAAAAAAAGTTGGTGTGTAAAATTTTAAGTATAAAGATCATGATTTTAGTTTTTGTGAGTAGCTATATTAAGCTATATCTGATTCTAACTTCTTAATTCATCAAGTTAAATTTTAAAAACACCTTTGTAAATATCCTTGAATCTTTTCTATATGTATGTACTGTATTCCCAAATTAAGTATAATCAAATATGAAGCTCTAAATCATAAGCCATACTTACCTACTTCTTTTTCAGAAGAAATACTCAATTGATGGTGAATTGTTACCAAAGTTTACTTGTAAAAATGAAACCATTGAGAAAAATTATCCCAGACTTAAGGATTTTGCAAAAATGTCCCTGAGTGCGCCCTCACTGTCATACTAAAGCACTGTCTAGTCAACCTGCTTAAGGGTGTTTAGAGACTGCAGCTTTTGTGTGACCTACTCTTTATTGATAACTGGGCCCCAGACTCTGCAAGGGTAGATATTACTTTGTCAAAGATTGTTAAGTTGCAATTACTATTTTTGTTTGGTAGAGAAGGAAATGATGTCTTTCTAGTAGAAAAGACAACCCCAAAAGTTATCGTTTTAATGCCCTGAAGAATATTAATCCGTGTCTTAGTCCATTTGGGCTACTATAACGAAATACCACAGGCTGGGTAGCTTATAAACAACAGAGTTTATTTCTCACAATTCTGGAAGGTGGGAGTCTGAGATCAGGGTACCAGGTGGTCCAGGGAGGGCGCTCTTCTGGGTCACATGGCAGAAGGGACTAAGGATCTCTCTGGAGCCGCTTTCATGAAACATGGCTCCTGTATATGAGGGTTCCACCCTCTTGACTTCAGCACCTCCCAAACATTCCAGACCATCACTTTTCAGGGTTAGGATTTCAACATGTGAATTTTGGGGAACACAAACATTCAGACCATCACAATCAACATTTAAAACCTAACTTAGCAATGTTTTGCAGTGTTTTTTCTTCCACTGATTATATAACATACACTCGTCTCCTTTCCTCTTTGGAACCAGCTTTATCATCCTGCTTGTCCCTGATTAAGCAATTAACTATCTTTGAAAGAGGCTCACTGTTTATTTTTATGAGAGCCTTTTTTTTTAACTCTTTGAAATTCATTTTGACAAAAATGAGAGTCTAGAAACAATACACATTTTGATTGAGCCCTAAACATCACTCAAATAAATTTAGTACGTGATGTACCTGGTATAATATACAACTAAATTTCAGTTACTTAGGCTGCTGTAATAACAGCAATTTAAAAATAATGTTAAGGAATTTTACCTCAATTGACTTTTGATGCCAAGTAGGTTTGATCAGAAGATGTGAAAAAGGGTAGCAAGGGGAGGTGCACATGGTTGTTTATTCTGATGGGCAGTTGATATGTGCTCGTCAGTTTCAGACATTTGTCTGCATTGGCTTTTTGTCACCCATATGCATCTCAGAGCTACTGGCATTTGTCTCCTTGACGTGGGTGTATTCTGTGTATGACTCTTGAATTTTTCAATCACAGTGTCCTGGGTTAGAATATTAACTCCACATTGTGAAGCAGGAACTCTTATTAACATGCCTGCTTTATAAATAAGAAACCAAGGTATGAAGAGTTAAGTAGCTCACCCACAGCCGCCAAACACTAGTTGAGATTGGATTTCAGACAGATTGAGCCCAGAATTCCCCTTAGTCCATTTCCCTCAAGCACAGCTGACTCTCAGTTTTGGCTTTGCATATAAAACTCACTCAGCCTTGGCTGCCAGGAGGAAAAACTGAGGTCTGGGAAGCTTCAGATAATGTGCCCAAGGTTACCCAGCTAATTAGTGGTGATGGGGATTTGCTAGTCCACATGAAAAAAGAGAAGAAAAAGGCAAAGGCTAAAATAAGCCAGAGGGAATGAGATGCTGTGATAATTGAGTAAAAGCTGCAATTGAGGAATTTCAAGGTAGAGGAAATTGTTAACAAAGATGAATTTGCACGTTGAAAAGTTGCCTTAGATAGGATCCGCACAATTGTGCACACACACATAAAGGTAAAAAGAAAAAGGCCTGATAGAAAGGTTAGGCTGAGGGAAAGAACAATACTGTGAAAGCAGCTTTCTATAAGACGGTTCTCTGGGCAGGATGGATACCGTGTGACCGTCTTTACTGGGCACAACGAAGTTATTGCCCAGAGAAGTGGCAGAGCAAAGACTAGAGAAAAGTCAGCAGCATGTAATAAAGTTTGGAAAATTGGCCTTCAGATTTTTGGATGTGTCTACACAGCCATGTATGTCTTTGGGCAGCTGTGTTGCCATTAAAGCACACGCTCTGCCAGGCTCATGAAACGCGCTTGCACCTGACGATTCCATGTAACTTTTATAGATACACACAAATACAGGAGTGCCAACAGTTTAAATGATTTGACAAAGTCTTCTAGCTATTCAAAAAAAAAAGGGCACATATTTTCATGAATAGTATTACTGATGATAAAACCCTTATTTAATAATAAAATTGGTCATTTTAAAATCACTTATTGCATAAAACATTTTACTTTATAAGCCTTCAGGGCTTCTTAGAATCCATTGTCTGCCAAGCCCATAATTTCAAATTGGTAGCTAGAAAGTGGGGAGATTTCCAAGTCAGGAAGAATCTCGGGTTAACAGTCACCCTCTGTCTCCATCTACTTTGCCCGATCGATGCATTAAAATGAAGTGAGCTTGTTAAAGGTCCTTGTTCTTAGGAAAGACATACTGAAGTATTATTTAGGAATGAATTGTCAGGATATTTTCAATTTATTCCCAAAAGGTAAAAAGTATGTGTGTGTCGTATGAAACAGAAATAGGAAGAGAGCAAATGCAGCAAAATATTATTAATTGTTGAATCGAGGTGAAGGGGACACAGGTGTTCATTGTTCTACTCTTCAACTTCTCTGCAAGCTTTCATTTTTTTTATACAAATAGAAAATTAAAAAGCAGCATATTGAGTAGAAAATACTACTTCAGATTCTAGATTATGCGCCTTATCCAGAATTGTAGTCTTGGATCTTTTTATTTTTAAATCAATGATTATTCCTTCATTTTGTCTTATTTTTAAACATTTTCTCATATTTTAATATTCTTTGTAATTTTGATAATTGCCCTTTCTAACTTCACATTTATATGTTAGGAATTTTAGATATATTATCACTAATCCTTATAACGATCCTGACAGGTAAATTCTATTGTCCCTATTTCTCAGATAAGAAAAGAGAGGCTCCAACACATAAAGTTAATTGCCCCTAGTCACATGCAGCTACAAATGGTGCTTGACTCATGCCCGAGGGTGTCAGAATCCCAAATTGGCGCTCTTTTCATTCTATCGACGTGCTTCCCATGTTACAAAATCCATCTATAGACGGATGGGTCCTTCGGGGGAGAACACTTTGTGCCACTTAAAACCTATTGAAACCATTACTGGTGCACAATAAGCAGAATAAACTAGTTCCACTGCTTTTATCTATATCTTGAAGTTTTAAAAACAAAGTGATGAAAATATGAATCCTTCTCCAAAAGCCTTCTAATGCAGGTTTATCATAAGCAAGAGACAACTTATAGATTGCGTGTGTGATAGAACTATTTCAAAACTTACTGATATTTGGCTGTTTCTTCAAGTTCCTGAAATTTTCCACTTTCAAATGGTCATAGTCTTATCATTAAGTGGCACTTCCTTCCCAAAAGGCAAAACACTGGCTATCATTCAATAAATATTTACTGAGCACTTCATAAGTGTTCAGCTTAATGTGTATGCATTTTACCAAAAACGCTATGTGCAATCCACGCTTTGCTTCTCTTAAAGACAGTACCATTTCATGATTTTTTGTTTCTTATGATTTTAAAGTCTCTGGCATTAGCAAAACTCTTATAGGACAGTTATTTGGTAGTCTAATTTTAGCATAACCATCTATTTATAAACTCAAAATGAAACAAGTAGAATGTTAAGGTACACAATTCAAGAAAATTCACACTCTAAGTTCTTGATAAAAGCTCCAGCACATTTTAAAATAAGGGATCCTCTCTGGGAAGGTTTCAGTATGAGACAGAAGAGACAAGCCCTTGGACTCACCTCCAACCTGAGTGTTGAGATCATTGTTTAATTTTTAGGTTGTTAGAGTAAAAGGGTATTTGCTTGAAATCTTGCTAATAAAGTCTGGGTACATGGCTGTATTTAAAGTAAAGAAGCTTGCCTGTAATAATTGATTTCCTAAAGCTCTGTTTAATGAAATGATATGCTGCCAAGATTCTTTTAAACAGTGCCAGGGATTGATGAGCTCATTTCTCAACACATTGTCCCTTTAAACATACTTAGGCCCAGTGACGATATACTTCCCCTAGTGTTTGCATTTGCTTAGGTTTATTTCTCCTTTTGGGGCTTGAATTGTAAACTCTGCTTTAGGAACCGTGAGCATCTTCTCTATCCCTCCCTCTGTAGGGAAGGTTCCCTTCTAGGTTCTTTGATTAGTTTAATAATTAAATTGACATAAGACAGATTAACAGGAGGAAATCAAACAAAAGTTTAATAACATTTTATCTCCTATATACATGGGAGAGACCCAGGAAAACTAACTCCCCAAAATGGCTAAAACCATCACCTTCAATACCATGTTCAGTTTAAGACAAAAGATGTTGGGGGTGGGGAGTCAGTTATGGGAGGTTACCAGGAAATGCACAGTAAACAGGGGTTCGTTGTTATGCAGAGTTAACTCCCTGCCTCCTCCACTGATAAATGTCTAGAGATTGAATCATCTCCTTCTTCCAGGTATGAGGAGGGAGACAGCCTTATAAATGGAGATTTCCCTTATAAATGTACAAAAGGGTAATTTTGCTTCATTTTCTGAGCTTCTCGTATGTTTGCAGTTCCTTAAAAATAACCAGCCTAAAATAATCCTTACGCCAAAGAGACATATTCTGGAGTGGCAATTTCTGCTCCCCCCCACCTCC